CTGCCATTAACCAGACTTGGCTGCAGCCGAATGGAAGTGATAATTTGTTGCTTCATTTATTCATCCTGCCTCTGCTTCCTTCCCGCCCACCCTTTGTGCTTTTTAATACCGAAAAGATGAAGCTACTTTGCTCAGTCTTAAAAATTGTCTCTCCCAAGATACTCTTAATTGTATCTCTACACCTTTTCTCATTCACAGGAGCATAAGAAGATTAAAGATAGAGGGAGCAGTAATAGATTTAGTTAGGTTTTAATAGGATTTGCAGAGGACAATGCAGGGAATGAACGCCATAGAAAATATTGCTGCTCTATCTTTGATATCCCTAAGGCTCCTTAGGTAGTCTTTGACAGAGATTTTGTCTGTGCCCTGCATCCAGAGTCAAGACTCTCATTTTTTAAAGGAGTATGTAATCATCTCAGTAAACAGGATGTTACATTACAACTGGCAGAAAGCACTGCCGCCTTCATCTCGTGTTATTTATTTGTATCCTGTTAAGTATAACTCGGAATGTCGACAGTGGGCTTTTTAATAACTCCCTGATGCATTCCTAAAAGTGCCCAGTGATTTTGTCTAATGTCAGGTGGAGCAAAGGGGTGAGCTCTGATAGATCTCATTAGCAGCAGGCTTGGATTCATCACACCCTCACACGTGGGATTCAAGATGCTTAATTAAATGTTTATTTCATGTTTAAAACCCAGGCTTACAAATAAACTTCCAGAAGGTGATTCAGCACTCCTGAAATCTGAATTATCCCTGGAGATACCTTTCTCTGCTGACTGCAAGGGAAGCCTTCATGCATAATTTAGACTCATGTGAGAGTTAGGTAGACAGTGGTACTCAGCATTTTCTCTTAATTTCCGAGGTTTCTCTTGATATGCACCCAAAACCTGGGGCATGAAAAAGCTCCAGTCCCTCCTGAAAAGATGTTGATGTATCTTCACTTTGTTCTGAGTTGTGATCTTAAGCAAATTTAGTGTGTAAAAAAATCTAAGGACAAGAAAATACTCCAAAATGTTCCAAGATTTAACTGTTCCACACTCCCACAGAGCGCCCATCACCCCAGTAGTGGCTGGTGTTGGAAGGGCCTGTGTGTTATAAATCAGTCTTTAATTCCAGGTCACTGCAAGGCTGTGTTTAACAAGTGGCAGTTGTGAGAGAAGTGTGAACCCTCCAAAAACAACATCCTGATGGTCCAGATAGTGAAACAAAATGGCTTTTGTCTCTTTGCCTTCTGCCTGAAACCTTTTCCTTGTTGTGCAGCCCAGCCATGGCTGGAGATTCCCGGATCTTCATGAACCAGGACATGGACATTGGGGTCACATCCCGGGAGCCCAAGAAGATCCCCAAGCAGGCTCGGGATGACGTCCCCATCGCCACGGACAGGACCCGCCTCATTTCCGCTGAGGGCAAGAAGCCACGGCAGCGCTACATGGAGAAGAGTGGCAAGTGCAACGTGCACCACGGGAACGTCCAGGAGACCTACCGGTACCTCAGCGACCTCTTCACCACCCTGGTGGACCTCAAGTGGCGCTTCAACCTGCTGGTCTTCACCATGGTCTACACCATCACCTGGCTGTTCTTTGGGTTCATCTGGTGGCTCATCGCCTACATCCGGGGAGATCTGGACCACCTGGAAGATGAGAACTGGATCCCCTGCGTCGAAAACCTCAGCGGATTTGTGTCAGCGTTCCTGTTTTCCATCGAGACCGAGACGACCATCGGGTACGGCCACAGGGTCATCACAGAGAAGTGTCCCGAGGGCATCGTGCTGCTCCTGGTCCAGGCCATCCTGGGCTCCATTGTCAACGCCTTCATGGTGGGATGCATGTTCGTCAAGATCAGCCAACCAAAGAAGAGGGCAGAGACCCTCATGTTCTCCAACAACGCCGTCATTTCCATGAGGGATGAGAAGCTCTGCCTCATGTTCCGGGTCGGGGACCTCCGCAATTCCCACATTGTCGAGGCTTCCATTCGAGCCAAACTGATTAAGTCCAAGCAGACCAAAGAAGGAGAGTTTATTCCCCTGAATCAAACGGACATCAACGTGGGATTTGACACCGGAGACGACAGGTTGTTCCTGGTGTCCCCTCTCATCATCTCACATGAGATCAATGAGAAAAGCCCCTTCTGGGAGATGTCCCGCACCCAGCTGGAGAAGGAGGAGTTTGAGATTGTGGTCATCCTGGAAGGGATGGTGGAAGCCACAGGTAAGGATGTGTCAGCCATCAGTCACTGTTTTGAGGAGGAAAGGGGCACAGTGCATTGCGGGCAGTTTGGCATTAGGTTTTCGCTGTCCGTGTCACCTGGACTGGGAACACAGTGAGGTTTGTCCTTGGGTAGTGCCTGACTCGGGTGGGGTGTCTGAGATAACCAGTAGTGAAAAATGGGGCCTTTAGCTCATGCTGTAGGGTTTCACCCTCTTTTTTTTGTAGTGCTTCACCCTCTTTTATAAGTCTGGGATTGAGGTGAATGGGATAGTCCTGGAGCTGCCTATAATCACTTAGAACTGATCCAGAGGAGGAAAAGCAATGGATTAAAGGAATTCTTGAAGTCCCTGGTGGTCCTGTTTCCTGTGATCAAAATTCATGGTGCAAATCTTTCCCCATTTCTCCTCTGTATTAAAGATTGGCTGTAACTGTGCTATTTTAGGTACTGCTGTAGTGTTGATTTTAATGGGTGCTATGAAGTGCCCAAGTCTCACTGTATCCCATAAAGCAGCACGTGCTGAGGCTGAATGACTTGCACGTGGTGCAGGACACACATTCCCAGAAGGAGCTCAAAGAGGATAAATAGAGAAACTGCTTTTGTGACTCTTGCAGCCCTGCAGCTGCTGAACAGCTCAGACAAAGCTGGGTAATGGGAGATAAGGAGATATCCTCAGCCATTCCCAGTTTCCTCCTAGGGGTGTATTTGTGACAGGCAAGAAAAGAACTCTGTGTATAGTGAATCTGGAAAAGAGGTAAGGCTCAGCTTTCCAGGGAGCAGGAAAGGCAGCTGAGGGGAGGGATGGGCACACAGGCTCCTTCCCACAGGAGCTCTGCCTGGCCAGGCAGCTGCACCTGGCAGTCGTGGCACCATGAGCCATTTCCACTTGGGTGAATCCCTTTGCTCCAGGTTTGGGGAGGAGCTGGAAGCTCTTCCTGCTGCACTTGTGGCACAGTGAGTGTGCCCAAGCCCCTGAGACGCTCAGGTCCCTTCCAGGCAGGGTTTTCCGGCTTGGGGTGGGCAGAATGCCTTGATGGAATCAGGGTCTGCAGGGGAAAAGGGCTGCTGTCTCTGAGGAGAGCTCTTCTGGCTAAAGATGCACAAAGTCAGAGATGCAAAAAAAAAATCTTTTACAATCAGTTTTCCCCTTTGGTGTTTCAGGATTTTAGTTATGAGCCCAGGGTTTTCCTGTGGGTGGTGGTTGGATTTTGTTTTCCATCTCAATGAGGTTCTCTCTGAGTCATTAGCAGGGGTTTTCAGCTTGTTACAAGTACTCAGTGGTGTCAGCACCCTGTCTCACAGATTCTGCCCTTTGCTGACTGTTATCCCCTCCTGGAGATTTGCTCATTAGTCTCCCAACAGCCAGAGGAGGAAAAATCTCACAAATTCCTGCATCCCAAACCTTTGCTCTCAAGGCAGCTGTCTAAGAGGTAATTCAGTGTCCCAGAGTCTCCCTTTAGTAGCTGTAGCTGACTTTCACAAACAGAGCTGATGGGAGGTGATTGATAAATTGCATTCCATTGGGGCTGGAGTATGTGCTATGGAAGTGGAATTCACCTGGCATTTCCAGGAAAATGTTCTTCCCCAGCAGAGCGTTGTAGAGACATGGCAAAGGAAGGGGTGGGTGGAAAAGACTATCAAAGGCAAGGATTTGTAACAGTGATTTATTCTGCAGCCTAAACATTTATTAGAGGCTGGAGCCTCCTAATCTGAGCATGGAATGCAGCTCCTTGTTTGTCCAAAGCCTCTTTCCTCATCACACAGTGACACTATAAATGCTCTGAACCCCTGCTGCTCTGCCTTCCTCGCAGGAAGGCTCAGCCTCTGCTGGGGATGTGTGAGAGGAAGTCATTATCAATAACAACCTCGGAATTAAAAGCATGGCAGAGGAATAATATTGCCTTACAAATGGGCTCCTCTCCCAGAGGGATTGCACAGACCGAGCTGTAAGGACATTAAGGAGCATACATCTGTGCAAATGAATTATCCTGAGCTCAGAAGGCAGCTTGGGAAGTCCCACACTGGAGCTGGAGGAGGTGTTTTTCACTGAACTCAAAGCTGAGTGGACCTTGGATGATTCCAGAATCCAATTTGGAGGCTGAGATGGGTCCTGAGGGACCTGTGGCAGCCAGAGGCATGGGATATTTTGTCACAAGAATAGTGGCTTGCAGAAACAGTTTTTGTGCTTTCCTGCTTCATCCTCACACTTGGTAATATTGATAAAGCATTTTGGGGTTTCTAAACCCCACATATATAGGGATATATGCATATATAGGATATAGGGATATATGGATATATAGGGATATGTGGAGGGATATATCTTATCCCTCCACACCTTAAAATCTGCTCCAAGCAAATTCTTCAGGTCCTTCCCAGCCCATGGCACTGCTCAAGCCCCATCTGCTCTCAGGAGTGGTGTGATATTTACTCCCAGCTGGACTTCTGTTAAATCCTGACACTGTCGCAGCCTGGTCGGATTCAGGGCAGTGTAAAATACAACAGAGCATTTGTTCCCTTAGCAACCCCTATGGAGCATTAGGAATCCACCCTCCAGAGTTCAGAGGTACCACTGGTCAGCATATACAGCTCTGTTTTCCGTAAGGTGTTTGGAAGGCAGGTCAGAATGGTCATTGGCAAGATATCAATGACTACAGAAATTTAAGCACGACTAAAAGTGGGGATATTTTTCACTGATCATTTGGGACAGTGATTTTGTAGCTATTTTCAGTAGATTTAACCAGGCACGCACATATTACAAATGTAATGTATTGTCTCCTCTCAAACAAGCAGCTCTATTTACTGACATTTAAGTTTAATTCTGACCCAGTAGAAGGCAAAGATGGTAAATAGCTTCAAATGAAAAGTGTAGAGTAAATTCTGAGGAGTTCACACCCTTCAAGTCATTGGGTTTTTACAAAGTGAAACACTGTGGCTTAAAAAAAAAAAATTGCGTTCAAATTATCTTGGCTTTTCAAAGGCCTGAGTAACAGCACACTGAAGAACAGCAGCTCACCAGCCAGCCTGAAATGCTGTGGGTTCATTTGGGTGAGGAAGATAATGATAATAAATGTGGTGTTATTGCAGTGAGAGCTCCGGGGCAGCCAGGAGTGCCCCACAGAGCCAGCCATGGCACAAAGGCAGGCGCGCCTTTCCCCATCCACATCTGGGATGGGAGAGGCTCTGCGGCTCTGCCAGCCCATGGAAAAGGCCAAAGGGAGAGCGAGTTTCTGGGCAGATCTGATGTGGTCATTGCTGGGTGAAATAAGCACTGTGAAGACAAAATCAATATTACTGACAGGAGTTCTGACTCCCAGGGCTGCTCCGTGGGCGTCTCGGGGGCGGCAGCATCACCCGCAGTGCTCCTGATGAATTGGGCACAGGGATTACCTCAGGGAATTCATTATCTTCACCTTATCACAAAGGGACTCTTGTCAGGATCAGCTGCCCCAAATCTGACCTGCAATAAAAGGGAACAAATCAAAGGTGGGAAATCTGTTTGCGCAGTGAATACATTTTTCCTTTCCCTGCCGCTCTGCTTCCCAAAATCTCAGGGCCACCCTGGTGACAGGACAGCTCTCGATTGCTGCTGGCCAAAGCTCCTGCCCTTCCCCTGCTGATCCCAAAGTGAACAGAGTGTTCCAAAGCTGCTGGGACAGGGAAGAGCAGGGGAGGTCCAGGCCCCCCTCCCACGTGGTGCAGAGTCAGCTGCCTTGTGATGAAGGATTTGGCTGATCCAGTTAGGGAACATTAGCAAGTCCAATTTTTTTTAAATAATGTTTTTCTCTGTAAGCCATCACTTCATGTGCTGACACACTCTGCATATCTTACAGGACTTTCTGGCAGGTAATTTGAAGGGACTCTCTTCCAGCTTTACCCTTCCTCTGCTATTTGCTGACAGTTACCCAAATCCTGCTTTTTCCATAGCTTCCTGCTGCCCTCATTCCCTGGGCCCCGTGTCCAGCACTGCTGCTCCCTGGGCATGGAGGTAGCAGAGCTTGTTACTCCACTCCTGGTCCTCCCTGGTTTTCAGTGCCTCTTTTTCCCAGCACAATTAAATAAGGCACAAGAGATGCTCCAGATGCCTGATTAGTCTAGTCACTAAATGAAGTTTTAATGGACTCTTATGTAAGTACAGGTATATATTTTTCTGGCTAAGAGTCAGTGTGATAAAAGGGGATTTAATGATTAGAAGTAATTAACCCATCCTGTCCCTGTGGGAGTGTAGGCAAACAGCAGAGTTTTCACACCTCAATTTATCCACCTTTGCAGAGGACAGAGTACGGTTTCCTGGCTGTAAATGTAGGGCCAAATGGAGTAGTCACAACAAAAGATATGCTGAAATTAATCATGATTTTCATGGGAGTACAAAGGAAGAGCGAAATTACTGAATGGAGTTTCTGAGCATTCATCATCTGGTTTGGGTTGTCTTGCGTTGTTTTGCATTTTGCATATGAATAAGTTTTCTGCAAGGAGGACCTTGCAGAAGTGCTACAGAAACAGGCTAAAAATGATAGGGAAGAGATGTCTCAGGTGATGGTGTTGATGAGCAGGACTGTCCTCTGGAGGAGAGGCTGCCTGAGGTGGCTGAGGTGCCTCTGCAGTCACTGCAAACCCTAGAGAAGTTTCTGCTCTGGGCGTGGCTCAGGCTGGGCCTGCTAGAGACATGGCAATTGAATCCAAGGTCTTTACATCATAAAGTCCTTTTATTATATTTTTCTCAGTGCCTAGGAGCATTTGTATGCCTGGAGAGCATTCAGATAAATTAAAATCCTATTACTCTCCTCTGGCATAAATATCAAAGTGAATCAAGACCAGCCATGTCCTCTAAAGGAGACAAGCACACATAATTGCAGGACCAGGCTCCTACCTTTTAATATTTCTTTTCAAGTTGAAATAATATTGACTTGTTGGAGGTTACAGTGTTCTTTGGTCTAATTAACACAGAGGGATTAATAACTTTTATAACTTACCATATGCTAATGTAAATTAAAAGACACATATTGCTTAATTACAGCAATAGAATTTAAATTTTTCATACCTTTTCCTTGCTACCCATAAACTTCCATTGCTGCCACTGCACCTCTGAGGCCATCATTTCCTGGGCAGTGGGTGTTCCACAGCTTCAGAGCATCCAGGAGAAGGAGAAAAGTCATCCTGGACACAACAGAATGGGCAAACAAGGGCAGAGGAGGGAGATCACTGCCAGCAGTGTCTGTGTCGGAGGGGCCTGAGCAGATCTGGCCCAGCCCAGGCAGCCACATGACATTTCCCAGCAGATAATCGCTGAGCTCCCTGGCATTTCAATGAGCACAGTTAATTTTAGCCTGATGAAAAATGTTGTCTTGACAGCCCCAGGGGCTGGGATATCTCTGCCCACTGAGGAGGTTCAGGCCATGGAGCAGCACTGGAAGATTCACCTCTGCTTGGGATGGGATCCCATTGAAGCCTGGGGAGATTTTAGGGTTGGCAGAGCACCCTCTGTGTCTCCCTCTGCTCTCCCATTAACCCTCCGGTGAGGTCACCTGGCCAGGATGGGATGTTTGCCAAAAATCAGCATCCTCCAACAGCTGCAGAGAGCCTTTGGTAGGCCAGCAGACAGCTGCAGCTGCAGATTTGGGGCAATAAGGCCCAGCTTTGTCTGGGCTCCAGGAGCACTGTCCCCTTTGCCAGCCCCAAGCTCGGCTCCAGTGCAGGAGCAGCAGGATCCCCCCGTGCAGCCCGTGCTGAGCCTGCTCTCGGCAGCGCGCTCAGCCATCCCCAGCTCTCTGATAACTGACTGTGATGACAGCAGAGAGCCTTACTGGAGAGATCCCTGGCACTTGTTTTACACCACGGAGCTTCCTCTGCTCTCAGATGTGATGAGACACTGCTTTAATACACATCACGATCTAGTCTGGATCTTTCATCTGCTGGGAAGCAGAAGGGAGCTGTTTAGGAAGGATCCCTGGCTGCCTTAAGCAGGAACAGACACAGCTCAGTTATTGGTCTGTGGCTCCAACCCACAGACAAAAAATCCACTTCTTAGGATTCTGATATAATGAAATTATCATTAAAACTCTGTGAAATGTTTGAAACCAGGACACAGTGCCCTTGTCTCTAGCATCTATAAAACCTGGAAATGGTTCCAGTTTTATTGAAAATTTGATGCACCTAACTTTGAACAAGTTTTATCTCTGGTTTCTATTAAAATTCAGTTTTGTTTGCAACATGAAGCTGAGCTGCTGCATTAAGAGATGAGAAAGCTCCAACTGAAAGTTGCCATCTGAAGATTTCTAATACCATTCCATGTTTTCTACAGCACATTTGCACACATTTATATTAAACATACTTTTTAATTTTTAAACCAGATTTCTTAGGAGAAAATGAAACTTCTAATGATCTTACAACTCAGAAAATATAGAGTAGAAAAATATATGTCTATAACTTCAACTACATCTACTTGGACTGAAAGAAGGAAAATGAGGATATAGGGCTATGAAAATGATGGGATGGAGCAGCTCTCCTATGAGGCAAGGCTGAGACAACTGGGATTGTTCAGAAGAGAAGGCTCCAGGGAGAGCTCAGAGCCCCTGCCAGGGCCTAAAGGTGCTCCAGGAGAGCTGGAGAGGGACTGGGGACAAGGGATGGAGGGACAGGACACAGGGAATGGCTCCCAGTGCCAGAGGGCAGGGCTGGATGGGATTTTGGGCAGGAATTGTTCCCTGTGAGGGTGGGCAGGCCCTGGCACAGGGTGCCCAGAGCAGCTGGGGCTGCCCCTGGATCCCTGGCAGTGCCCAAGGCCAGGCTGGATGAGCCTTGTTTGGAGCAAGGGCAGGGAAAGGTGTCAATGTTTAGTGTCCTTTCCAACCCAAACCATTCTGGGATTCTGTATTCTCTTGGCATGAAGTTTATTTAAATGAAACCGCCAAATACCAGTTCTCTATATCTGCATATTTAAACCCAAAATATATATATTATATATATTTAAACCCAAAATGGGTAGTTATACATTTTTTTAAGGAAAGGATTAATAACCTATCAGGGCCATACATACTATGGTTAATTCTTCAAGAAATTTGGAGAGTCTGGAATCTCTCTTGTGTTCTTGTGCTCCCCGAAGTGTCAGTGCTTCATGAGTGATGTAGAAGAGCAGTAATGTCACAGCTGCTGTGGTTCCCAGGTCTGGGTCTGCTTGCCACCAGGATTTGCACTTGGTGATCTTTGTGGCTTCCTTCCAATCCAGGGTAATCTGAATTCTGATTCTACCTGATGGATGGGAGCATATGGCAGATGATTCCCTGTGCCCAAGGCATCCCACAGACTCAGATAAACCAGAAATCTGCAATTAAGCAGGTGATTTTTTTCAGGGATACACAGAGGTCTGAGTCTGGGGATTGCTGTGCCCCACTGCAAGGTGGCACTGGGATATTCTGAGCACAGGGGTAGCACGTTGTGTTCCAGCGGCAAGTGGCTGCATCCATGTGCTCTTAATAAAAATAAGGTTTATTGTTTCCACACCTCTTCTGTCATCTTTTTGCAGTCACAGAGGCAATAATTAGCTGGGGACATTACAGATGCATTAATTAACTAGGCTGGAGAGCACAGGGCAGCCTGCAAAGCAGGCACTTAATGGAATTTGAAGCAGATACAATGGTGTTGTTTACTGGGTGATGTGGGAGTTGCCAAGCAGTGTGTCCCCACGCAATTAAACACCACTGCACATGTGCTAAAAAGGAATATTTGAATGGGATTATGGAGCAATTACAAGTTGTCTTATTGTACTGGCTCAGTGTCCCCCTGGGGTTCCAGAAAGCAGCTCCTGCAGGAAGCTGGCAGCAGCAGTGTTTGGTTGCTGAAAGCTTTCCATTGTTCCTGCCCTAACTGAATATTTAGAGTGGGACTGGGATGGTGTCCCAGGAGCTCAGGTTCACTCAGGTGCTGCCCCAGTGTTATAAATCCAGGGAAGGAGCTATTTCAGGCCCAGATGACAAGGCAGGAGCTCCCTTAGAGAGCCCCAGACCCCCATATTTCACAAGGACCCCCATCTTTGCCTGGGGACTCCTTCATGGTACCTTGATGCAGCACTTGAGAAGCCAGGATAAAAATCAGCTGGTTCACAGTGACACAGCTCCCCTGGGAAAACCTGTACCAGGACTGGGAAATCAGCAGGACCCCTCAGGCTTCCAGGGAGTGTGAAGCTGGCTCAGGGCAGGAGGGCTGGCCCTCTTCACCCCGAGGGCTGGTGATGCTGTACATTGTAGAACCACCAAAGTCAGGCATGGCCTCCCCCTGTTCTTCAGCTCTAAAGCAAAAGCTGAGAGTTTCCTGAAAAGATGCTGAACTTCCACAGAGCTTCTCCTTAAGGCAGCAGCACTTGGGGTGATTTTTAATTCCCTGGCTGTGTTTTTCATGGCAGCCTCTGCACTTCCCGGATCCTTCCAGCCCAGGAAGCAGGCACGCTGGAACACTGTGACTAACACTGTACTTGTTGTTCCTGCCCAGAAGCAAACACTCCTGCAGATCTTCTTGAGGGGAAAGATTGGTTTCTCAGACTATGCTACAGAACTGCAGATGTCTTAGCATTGCATGTGTCACCATCTCTTCCCCTTTCAAGGAACAAAATACTCCTGGCCTGGTAGCTTTAAACCACAGAAAGCAGTAAGAGACTTTCAGCTTTGCAGAGCACTTGCCTGTGTGGGTGTCTTTTAATGGTCTGTAGCAATTATAAGAACAAAATATTCCTAGTTTCACAAAGGTGAGGGGTTTTTTTTAAAGGAAAGGGGTTTTCTGATTGCTCTGAGATTTCAGTCGCTTATGAGCTCACAGAGTGAGAATATTGTGATCTGCTCTTCCCTGAAGTATCTGACACTGTGATTTTTTTCCCCCTTTGCATTCCTTTCGATTTCTGTCCCTGTGCTTTGGGCTGCAGGAATTAAACTTGAAAGTATTGGGCAGAAACTGGACCAAGTGCATGCTTTGAATTGGCCAGTCAGGCCAATCCCTCACCCTCCATGAGAGAACAGTGGGAGGACGTTGTGAGGTTAGCTTTTCACTGGAAATTAATTCCAAAACCGAAATATCATTCGGACAAAGAGAAGACAAATGTTTGGAAGACAGGACAGTCTTGACACCACGAGGTGATTCCAAGAGGATTGGCTTGCAGGTGTGCTTATTGCTGCTCTGCAAAGCTTCTCTTTAAACTTTTTCAAAGTAAAACTCTGATCCATAGGGCTGAGAAGCAGCATGAAAAGTTCCTTGTGAGCCACTGTTCATTCAGCCCCAATCCATCAGTACAACTGCTCCGGCCCTCCCAGGGAATTTAAAAGCCACCTTGGTTGGGAACCTCTCGCCTTTCAGGCTGAACATTCAGATCTGTGCAGCTTGGATTTGTGGCAGTGCTGTACAGGGAATTGTGGCAGTGCTGTACAGGAATTGTGGCACTGCTGTACAGGAATTGTGGCAGTGCTGTACAGGGAATTGTGGCAGTGCTGTACAGGGAATTGTGGCAGTGCTGTACAGGGAATTGTGGCACTGCTGTACAGGAATTGTGGCACTGCTGTACAGGAATTGTGGCAGTGCTGTACAGGGAATTGAGGCAGTGCTGTACAGGAATTGTGGCAGTGCTGTACAGGGAATTGTGGCACTGCTGTACAGGAATTGTGGCAGTGCTGTACAGGGAATTGTGGCAGTGCTGTACAGGAATTGTGGCAGTGCTGTACAGGAATTGTGGCAGTGCTGTACAGGGAATTGTGGCAGTACAGGGAATTGTGGCAGTGCTGTACAGGAATTGTGGCACAGCTGTACAGGGAATTGTGGCAGTGCTGTACAGGAATTGTGGCACTGCTGTACAGGGAATTGTGGCAGTGCTGTACAGGGAATTGTGGCAGTGCTGTACAGGAATTGTGGCAGTGCTGTACAGGAATTGTGGCAGTGCTGTACAGGAATTGTGGCACTGCTGTACAGGAATTGTGGCACTGCTGTACAGGGAATTGTGGCAGTGCTGTACAGGAATTGTGGCACTGTTGTACAGGAATTGTGGCAGTGCTGTACAGGAATTGTGGCAGTGCTGTACAGGGAATTGTGGCAGTGCTGTACAGGGAATTGTGGCAGTGCTGTACAGGAATTGTGGCAGTGCTGTACAGGAATTGTGGCAGTGCTGTACAGGGAATTGTGGCAGTGCTGTACAGGAATTGTGGCAATTGTGGCAGTGCTGTACAGGAATTGTGGCAGTGCTGTACAGGGAATTGTGGCAGTGCTGTACAGGAATTGTGGCAGTGCTGTGAGAGGGTGATGGTGGCTGCCTCAGAGGAGGGCAGGGCAGTGGCTCCCTCTATTTTGTGTTTCCCTGGGCTCTGTTTCAGAGCTGGGACAGCACTTGCAGGGCTGGGGGTTGTTCCAGCAGAATCCACCGGGACCTGTTGGTGTCAGCCTCACAAACAACACCTCATCAGAGCAGGGGGAGGCAGAGAGAAGCTACTTAGATGTCCCAGCCTACAAACCCCTAAGCACGAGGTTCAGAAGATGCAGAAGTGAATGCATCCCTTTCCCTTTGGGTGCTCAGCTTGTTCATGATAGAGACTTTTGTGAGGCTTATTAAGCCAAGACTTTTCTGTGTCCCAGAGCAATCAGGTATGGAAATGACACGAAAGTGCTTTTAAGTGCCTGGCGTGGTTGGGTGAGCACTTAAGGAAGCTTTGCCTCTAACATCCCTCTCTTTCCACCCAGGCATGACTTGCCAGGCTCGCAGCTCCTACATGGACACCGAGGTGCTGTGGGGACACCGCTTCACCCCCGTGCTCACCCTGGAGAAGGATTTTTACGAGGTGGACTATAACAGCTTCCACAGCACCTATGAGACCCACACGCCTGTGTGCTGTGCCAAAGAGCTGGCCCAGTCCCGTCGGGAAGGGCAGCTCCTCAGCCACCTGCCCAAGCTGGGCCGGGACCCAGGGACAGCCAGGGAGGACAAGGAGGAGGAGAAGGAGGAGGAAGAGGAGGAGGAGGAGGAGGAGGAAGAGGAGGAAGAAGGCAGGGAGCTGGCAGGACTGAGTGGAGCCAATGGGACAGCCGGAGAGGGGAATGAAGAGGTGCCTGTATAACCCCGGAGCTGCTGGAGCACAGACACCCTCACACCCTGCTGGGACACTGGGCTGGCCAGCCAGGAACCGACTGGGAGCCAGAGCTGGCATTCGTGTCCAGCTTTGCTGCCTGCTGCTCATCCTGGGAGTCACTGCACTGCACCGTGCCTCAGTTTCCCTTCCTCTTCCTGAGGCTCTGAGCTTTGCTCTCCTCTGCAAAGCATCTTGATCTCCATGGACAAGG